TACAGCCTAGGTGTGTAGCAGGCTAGGCCATCTAGGTGTGTGTAAGTACACTCTATGATGTTCGCACAATGACAAAATCGCCTAACGACACATTTCTCAGAACATGTCCCTGTTAAGCAACGTGTGACTGTACCATAAAAAAAAAGACAACAGTAATGTCTTGGAGAGAGGCTGAGTCTTAGGGGGGTGGGCCACTTTGGGAAGGGGTCAGGGAAGGCTGACACTTGAGCTGAGCTGTCGGTGCTGAGAAGAGGCCAGTCCAGGAAAGATATGGGGAGAGAACATCCAGGCAGAGGGAAGAGCGAATACGGAAGTCCTGAGGCGCGTTGAATATGCCACACTGGGAGCGCCAGGGACATCTCTGGGGAATCTCGCGGGGCTGTCTTCCCTTCCCTCTGGTCCCTCGCAGGGATGACCATGGAAGCAGGAAATCATTAATATCTGCATGAAGTTTATGCGCATTTACATTGAGTGTCATTTTGACAAAGCAGAGCTCTGTGCTGGGGTAGCCTCTCCTCTTCTAGAAGGTAAGCGAGGTTTTCAACAGTCGCCCAAAGCTTTCAGGACAGAGAGCAGCCTTGTGTTCCCTTTCCAGTGCCTCATGGAGGCAGATGTGCTGGTCACTCTCTGTACCAACTGCTGACTCCCGCGTGGCAGGGATGGGGAAGATGAAACTTCCTGTCTGGGTGAAAGGCTTCCACTCACTTCTCTTTGGACACACAAATATATTGAAAACTTACAAACCAACACAGAACTTTTGTCAAGGTAGGTCCAAAACACCTCTTAGAGCTGAGGGAACAGGGGCCTTGATGTCTTCTCCCAGGAGACGTGGAGCCAACAGGGTACTGATTAACCTCCCAGCAGGCCCCTGCTGAGGACTTCCGCCTATGGCGTCCTACCTAATGGCTCAGCTGGGCCCCAAAGCCCACTCCCTTCCTCCACTGGCTCTGAGCTGCCTGGTCACTGGCTTGGCTCATGGTAGTTTATTTTATTTAAGTGGTCAGAAAGGTGCCCAAGGGTCTCAGCGATAGGTCAGGCAATCTTAGGAACATCGAGCCCCAGTGTCACCCTCTCCTTCCTCCAGCTTACAAGCCTGAGTTAACTCCAGACACCAGGACTGTGAGATTCGATCTCATAGGCTTGGTTTTCTCTATGAAAATAGTCATAATAATTACATGGAGGGGGAGGGAGCATCATTCAAACCCCTCGCAAGTCGCAGGGTGATGTCTACTTGGTTTCATCATTTCATGGAGGTTGTTGATGCTAAAGAGGGTCCTTCAAAAGCTATTCTCCACCAGCCACCAAGAGGAAGAGAGGCCCAGACCCCACGTCAGGGAGATGCGTGGTCCTCCGTCTTCTGCACCAGCACCTCTCTGGCAGGCAGGAGAGTGAGGCTGCTGAGGGACCAGGACAGAGAGGAGGCTGGAAGTCATGCCACGTGGGACAAAGGCAAAGGAAGCTGGGGCTCAGCCTGAAGAGGAGGGAGAGAGTGGGAGTGGGCCAGTCTCATGGCAGGGGGCACTCAGATGACACGGGTGTGACTCCCCAGGGGTCAGGGAATGAGCAGAAGTCACTTCCCTCTAACAAGGAGCAGCCCAATTCCACTGCAGCCCAGCAGAGGAAGGGGCTACCTAGGGTGGCAAGCCCCCCACCCCACGCCACTGAACCTCTGGTTCTCCTGGCCCAAGGGGGCAGTCCAGGAGAGCCAGCGAGCCTCGCCAGCCTGGTCCTGGTTCGGGATGAGGCCTGCACGCGGGACAGGCTGGACTAGAAGCAGACAACTTGGGCAAGTCCTCCCTTTGCCCACACCTGAGGGGTGGGACACGCTCCCTTAGGACCCCAGCTTCCCATGAAAGCAAGTCTCAACAAGAGCTGGGTGTGGGCAGCAGGATCCACACCTGTTCTCCACTGTACTGACCTAAACCCCCAAAACACTGCCAACACTGAGAATCCTGGGCACGAAATCCTGGGCATGATTTCTAAGTTCACTTTAACTCTTAAATAATGTCTGATTCTATGAAACTGGGGCTTCAAGGTGACCTTGGAGTGCTAAGGGAGCTAAAGGGGTCAGATCTGCTAAGCTGTGAATGGCAGTTTGGTGGTGGGGACAGTGGTTGCAAATCTAGGGCATATGAACAATAATAATATTGGGGGGCACTTGACTATAAGTCAAATTATACAGTGTCTACTCACACGTTGATCCTCACGGTGACACCTTGAGATGAGTAGAGCGGGTATGACATCATGTGGGTGTCCAGAGAGGGGATAAGATGGGCCTCCACTTCCTGTGGTCCTACCCTGCTCTGGACCCTCAGGGACTGCCTGTCAGGTGCTGGAGGGAAGTGGGAGCCGCGACCCTCACAGAGGATGCTCTCCACACCCAGAGCCCATGCTGCAGGCAGACCAATTCCTTGAAAACCAACCCCCCAAAAATCAATTTACAGATTGATTTGCAAATTGAATTGATTTATTATCCATCCCCCCACCCATCCTCTCATCTTATCAATATTTACTTAACTTCTACTGCATAGCAAAATCAATTCAACAAATTGCCCCTAGAGCCCCCAAACTGGAAATGATCTCTCCCCCTCTAAATTTCAAGCCCGTCTTTCACAAAGTATTTTTTTGTTGCTTTACTTGTCTATTTAAAAAATGATAGCTTAACATTTCATTAAAGGTTTGTCCCAGCCATTCCACTCTCGTGTCTCCTCCTCCTAGAACTTGTACTGCTAGCCAGTAGTTTCAACAAGAAACACTGATTCACTTAAGCATATGTGTTGACCACTGCTCAGAAAACAAGACGCATCTCTTTTTGAAATCCTTATTTTTTTTATTGATGTTTTAATAGTTTTTAACATTGTGAAATTTTGGGTTGTACATTTTTGTTTGTCCATCACCATATATATGTCTCCCTTCACCTCTTGTGCCCACTCCCTACCCCCATTGCCCCTGGTAACCATAATACAGTTTTCTCTGTCCTTGTGTTGGTTTATATTCCCCATGTGAGTGTGATCATACAGTGTATGTCTTTCTCTTTCTGGCTTACT